ACCTTTGGGAGTTAGGTGGTGAATCTCTAACTGTTCAAGATAATCCTCAATCCGCCCTTCGCATCAATAGGAATGCATGTTGCAAGGCTAATAGTTAGACCAAGTGTAAGATATTCAAGCTCATAAATTGTTCAACGTAACAGAAGCAAGGAGTTCGGCATGAATGGAATTAAATTGCATTATGCACACATATAGCTATACAATTATGAGAATACGGTGAAGCAAGGGCCAAGATAGTAGGTATCGTGACAATCACCGCAATGTCAACAATTTGGCATCAGGGCGTATGTAAACCGCGGTTGAATTAATAAGAAGGCATCTTTTTCATAATGTTGTTAAGCTCCAGCTGCGCTTCTGTAGATTTCGTTACAGTAGCAGTATATATATTAATGCTTAAACGCTTTAGTTAGGGCACCAAATTGCAGTAGTCTCTTAAAGTTAAAAAGAAAACAATTGCGCAAGATAAATTTCGCGTAACAAACAGAGTAGGAAATGACCTTTGTGAAATCTCTGTTAAACTTAATCATGCATTAAATCAAAATGTATATCATTTTTATGCTGGACATTCTAGCTTCGTACAATATTATGTGATCGCATCATCAAATCGTAATAAATTAACGATTGCATCCCGTGCCTGACTTAGGGATTTACTCAGCTGCTGCTCAAATCACATTCAAAATGAAACTTTTAATTTGGAATCTGGGCTAAACTATAATGGGAAGTGGTGCTCGGCCTTGAAGTTGTTTTATTTTTCAGTTTGACCTTTGAGTCTCTTTAAGCATTTATAATAATGGGTTGGTGGTTTCCCCTTTGGTTATTACTTGCCTTTTTTAAGTGCTAGCGCCTCTACAAAACAAGTCTATTTATAGATCAACCTTTAAACTCATGAGTACTACAGAACGAAAAAGAGTATGTTTTACAATAGCATGCCTATCTTTTTTAGTTAATACCACCTGTTCTGATCAACAAAATCACGTTTGTCCTATCTGTTACACTGCTCACAGTTTTTGTCTTTTGTGCGGTGTACAGCCCTCCAGCTTTGTTTCTCATCTTGACAATTTTATTCGTTATCCTAATGATATTTCGCGTTATAGCCTACACGTAAGCCATATCTTACATAATTATTCTTAGACGATCAAACAATATCTTATTCATGTTGGGACCCTGTTACTTCGTTAATGTGTACACTCTTATTTTTATTTGGTAAGTGGAATACATCCACTTTTGTGACGTTATTATAGGGCAGTCCCGGATTCGCGTCCAGTATTTCTCGTTCTCTTTGGTTTGGCCAACTCAACCGTCTATAGTGCAATAATTATTTTCCGGAACTCTTTTGTGTTTCATAACTATGACAAAATGACCTCCTGCTTTATTCATGTTTTACCGCCACTCATATCATATTGGTGAGTCTCTAATCGTACAATTAATTGCATTTTGTCACAAATATAATCCATTGAATGCAACCACATTTTAGATAAGATGATGCACAGTTCAAATCGGCACCAATTCTTACCAGAACTCTCTCATGTTTTCCCAAATTTGTATAAAAATATTGTGGTTCATCGGCGTGCCTGTCATTCTTTGCTGATAATTCTTCTTCCGAGATTTAACTGTTTGTTTCTTTAGCCATTAAATTTCAGTATTTTATTTGGCCTTTATTTATTCCGATGTAATAAAAGGAATCACGAATCTGTAGAAAAGTAAGGCATTTATTGTATTTTGACCCTAAAATAGTCCTACAACCCTCATAAAGTATCATTCTATTGTAATTAATGTTTTATTCTTTTCCCTAAATTCTGCTTTAGCAGTTAATTACTGTTGACGTTTTTATCGTTGAATAATAAATCGAATAGTTGTCCGTTAATTTTTAGATGTTGTACCCTATGCTTGTTTGTTAATTAATAAAACAAGTAAAAGGTAAACATGTTTGATCCGTCATTCAAGTACTTTTTTGGTTGCGTACCTATATAAATGTATTAACTAAGTTTTATCAGGTGGTGATATCACAGTTTTTTGTATGCTTTTAGTGTGCGATGGTTCCCTGAGAATTGTTCTAACCCTTGGTGGAAAGGCTTTGTTAATACAGATGGAAGCACCAATGTCTCCGTATTCAATCCCATGGATGACTGGATCTACCTAGTTGTCATCCCGAACGCTTTCTTCATCGCACACACGGTAGATCATTTTAGAGCTTCATTCTATGTGCTGAGCTCACCAGTAAACTGCTGCAAGTAGCCATCGGGCAATAATGTGTTATGTGCTGCATGTATTCGACTTAAAGTAGTCTTCTGTACTATTTACATTATTTAGACCACACATTATTTAAAAGATTATTCAAGTCTCAAAATATGCAATAACTATGCTTGGTATTGTGACTTATTAGTCTCTACTTATCTACATGCGTGTCGCACCTTTTATTGGGCCTAAATCCTCTTTAATCACAATAGCTATGTCGTTTGTTTTTATTTTAATGCCATTTCCCAGAAAACCAACAATACGTTAAGTAGAACTTCAAGCATCAATTGTGCCTGTTGAATGCTTCTGTGCTGTATTTATTTGTCTAATTCCAAAAAGTTAGCAGCAAATCAAAGCTCTTCTCTAAGTCCTCTTAAAATTCATATGCCCGCAGTTTTGCATCCTCGTCCAGTTTCTACTTTTGTAATTGCTATGATAATTTTTTCTTATACAAGGGGCCTGCGTTGAAAGTGCTGGTACACCACGCTGACCCTATTCACTACTCAACTTAGAATAACTGACTTGGAAATCTGTTTTTTTCCCAAATTCTCTTTTAATCTTGGTTAAATGTTGAACATAATTTGGATATTTTACTTCGTTTGTTTAGTTTTTCTGCTGAATAAATCACTGTCTTATAATTTAGGCGCCTTAACATAGTTGACACATTTTAAATCTCAAGTCTATTTCGCGTCTGAAATTTAACACAGGAATTTAGTTGATCTGCTAAGAGTGTCCATTGTTTACTCTTTTCGTATACGCATTTGTCAGTCCGAGGTGATCTTTTTACTCATGGACATAAACCGGTTCTGTTCAATTGATGTGGGTGATTCTTTTTATTTTTAGCTACTCTACTTCATTATTGTGCATGTGATAATCAAGCCAAATGAAAAATACAACGACAATTACCGCTATCTTCGTACAAAATACTTTTCCAAAGTGGATTTTTTCAAGCGCATCCCCAAAATGTATGTTTTCTTTACTCACTAGTTCATAAAGTAGCATCTTAACATGAATTAACCGCTAATGTTTATTTGCCCCTTTCGATGCAGTCTAATTGTCTTAAGGTGAATATCCCATCACCAAAGTGGTGAAAGTGATGGGTGGGTGCGATCTTTGAACGTACTTATTTGGTCCCTTGTAGAGTTCAGACGTTGATATGGGTGGGACTGAACATCATTGTCAACTTTGTTTTGAACATGATATCCCTGCTGGCCTGGTGCACCTTCCTCTTTCACACCATCATGATTGTAGCTATGGTGGTGGTGATGTCATGGTACGGTGCCTCTTACTACCTCGACTACTTCGCCTACCTGGCCTTGCGTAAGGCTATCGAAAATAATGAAGTACCCGCACCGGTAAATTCCAAAAGCCCCACCGAGATGGAGGATGAGAACGACGAGGATGAGGAAGTGGATGAAAGTCTTAGACACAATCTTGAAACCGCCCTTGAGGAAGACAGGGATTCCGATATTGAGGTTTGAGAGTAAATGCTTTTTCAGCCAACCATTCCGATATTTTGAGTCTTCTGGTATGGGTTAAAGCATATTTTTGATAAGCAAAGCAAGTGACTATGATTTGCTAGACACTTGGCTGGACGCTTTTGTGGCTCACTAAAGCATGCTACCTGCCTAAAGATTCGTTTTGATCGTCCCCCTCAGGGGAGATACCTCTACATTACTGAGGCATATAAATATTGCTGGTCGAGCTCTTCTTGTGCGTATTGTGTAGGTAGGTTCAAAAAACCGCAGTTTTTTTCACAAAGGGTGATGCGCTTTGTCATCGACGAATTGACTTGAGTTTGGTCATCAGCTGCTTTTTCGTTCCTTCATTTTTGTAGACAGATGTCATATTGTCGGCGTAGTGGTGCATATTGTTCAAGGAAGTTTTGTTCGACCACAAAGCTGTTGTCGTGTTAAATTCTATGAATGAGTGGTTATCACTGGGATTTGTAGAGGAGGGAAGGAAAATAAGCAAATCCTCTACTTCAGTCAGTCAGTAGTCTGTGATGTTCTCTGAACTATTTAGCCTTTGGTAATTTGCATTATGCATTTATGGAGCCTGCCCTCTGTCCGCTTGAATGCGCTAGGTTTGTGCATGCCAGCCCCACGTTGAACTAAATTCTTGGTAATCGGTTGTGCCGGGAGTACATTGATGGTCTCCTCGTCATAGCGATGTCACATAATTTTGTATGCCTCATCGCTCTTCACGTAACTATCTTCCACCTTGGTAAATGAAATATCGAAGTGCTTTTGCGCACAAGATGAAGTCGTGTCGAGAGTTGCCACTGCAACCAAGCCGATGTTCCCTTGGTTTTGGTACTCCAACTATGTTTTTACATATGATAGCCAGGTGTTAATGCAGTATGTCATAATTATGGTTAAATACAAAGTGGTTTACCATTTAGGACTCATTCAGCTTTACATAGACATTTGAAAAGTTTTAATTGCATAGTGAATGCGCCAATGTTAAAGTATATTGCAATTTAATGGGTTTTCTGTTACAGTAGTCTTTTAAGCCAGGAAGAATTCAAGCAAATGAGATGCTTGCTTGCCAGTTCTGCCTGATTATTCCCTTTAGTTCATCTTTAATAGCCAGTTCTAAAGAAATTGATACGGTCAAACCACTTCTCTCTTAAGCTTTCATTGCCTCCAGGGCACATATTACACGAAGTTAATGGGTTGATGGAACATCTGTCCGTTTAGAACTAAGTTTTATGGTTATTCATGTAAATATTTAAACTAACGGGCTGTTATAAACCAGAATCTTGCAATATTTAGTCATACAAAGTTTCCAGGCTCTTCGTTGATCCAGGCATTCTCCAGTCGAATATCTTTCACATTCGGTGATCAACAAAGTCAAAGTTTTGTTTGTTAACCTTCCTCTTATACAAGCATTTGCCTCACTAATACATCTCTGTTTGAGTTATAAATTCACGACAAAGTATCAACCATATTTCTTGGTGGAAAAGGTGATAGGTGAATGTCCTATTATTTAACAAAAAAAACGTTGCAAAACCCTATTCTGCTTCAAACGATTGACGCCGATATTTGTTTGACTGGTGGGAAATAGCTTTTTTTGCTTGATGCGGCAGTCACTTGGACTTTTGTTCTGCTTTCGCCTGTCTGCCAAGCAAATTCAATTACCCTTAAGCAGATAATGCTTTACAGTCACGCTTCACTCATCTGAAGAGAGCTTCAAAAACGCCATGTGATGATAGACAAATTCACTTGCCGCGGTAAATTGCAATATGCACAAACACAACACCCTCAGCAATCAGTCACCGAAAGCTCCAAGTTTGGAGTCGATTATGTCAGTCCGTTAGTGAGGTATTCACAAAGTTACAAGTTGCTAAGTTACCAAAAAAAAATACAAACAGCTGACTTAAATACTCCATTGATTCACTGACTCTTGTGATCAAAGCCGGTATTTCTAACATTTAAATCGCGTTGTTATTTCATTAACTGACCTTTATGAAGTGAGAAGGGTCCATATACTCACTCACCACTTCTCTTAAATGGCCCTGTTTATAACATCTCGGAAATCGAGGTACATCCTGCTTGATTGCGCACTGTAAAGACTGTTCTTATACTATGCAAAATTGTACTCTTAAATCAAAGCCTAAGTGCATAGTATCATCATTCTGCGGTTATTGCCAAGCCATTTTTTACGTCTTCTGACATTCGCCTCGCATGGCAAAATGATAATATTTTCATATAGGTTATTCTGGAATGTCTGCAACCATAGGGGACGCTCCTGCCTCACTTCTCAAGAAGGCATCTTTCTCTTGTCTAGCATTCTAAAACTCGCAGATCGGTTCATGTCCTCCAATTAGCCAGTATTCGAAACGAATAGACTTCAAGTGTGCTATTAATCATTGAAGGATCAGGACCATTCAAAATAAAAACGTGAGAATGAAATCACCTTGTATCCTCGGCAGTCAGCCAACCGTCAATCACGCACATGGCGTACCCCAGCTTAAATATTACTCGTCGGAAAACAAAAAAAAAATGTCTGTCTTCTGATTACTTGAGTTGGAAACTCGGGAGGGCTTAGGCCTACACACACAGGAACCAGTTCATTACGGCTGGCGGCGTAGTATCCTTCAAGAAACTGGGGCGTTCCCTTCTCTGTCGATTAAGTAAATAATACTCTGAAAATTCAGCAAGTGTAAATTGATCAACCTCAAGTCAAAGTGTTCGAGAATCCACTTCAGAATCTTAGAGCCAAGTCCACGTTATCATCTCACCACAGTTGTCATTTTTGTCGATTCTGTTGTCAATAGTATAATAATGTCTCATCATTTTTCGTTTTTCGGTACTTCATTCGATTTCTAGCTCATTGGGCATGATGATGCTTTCTGATCTGAGCTTGCTAATACTGATCATGAGCAGGAAACCCCATTTCTACTACGAGAAGCATACTAACTTCGTTTTGTTGGTCCTCAAGTGGTATGAGCTTTGACAACATTGAAACAATACCCGGGGGATGTGTTAAGTGAGAAATCTTCGATGTTCAATCTGAGCCAAAACCGCTTGAAGTTGGAAAAGTGTGGTGATGAGTACTATGAGGATCAATCGTCGGTGCGAAAGCTTTATATTGAAGGAAGAGACCGACGACCAGTTCAAATGCTCCACCTTCACTTGGGTCCCAGACATGTTCGGGCAGGGTTCCTTTGCGACCTCACAAACAGCAACAACTGGGTCCAAATGTATTGTAAATCACGGGCTTGACGTCGCTCTAGTTCAGGCTGGAGAAAGACAGTTCCAAACCTACCCCAAGGAGTTCAGATTCATCCATATAGAGACGACGTTCCAGCCTCCTTCTCCCTCCAGGTACTGTGGAACCTGGCAATTGTTCAATTTCTGCTCTCACGAACAAAAGCGGTGCAAAACTGGGAGTGCACAACAATCCCACGAGCTTTTGACGCAGACAATGTGCAATGTCAGTAATACGTGGCATCATTGTTCATCCAGAGACGACCTCAAACTACTACTCCACCGCCGCTGTTCATGATGCGTTTCCAAGGGCTGCTTGGCGTTTGGAGATCGTGACGTCAGCCGCATAAAATCCATTTCTAGAAGTTTAGCTTATTAACCACGCGTGGATTGAATATTGCGTAATTTGTCAAAAGCTGTTGACGAAGAACCCGCAGAAATCCCCACCAGTGCAGTATCCTCAGCCCGAAGGGCTATGACCACAACACTATAATTCGAATTCCAGATTCATTTTCAATGTTTCTACGTGGCTTACATACTAAAAATTACTGAATTACCGTATTATTATTGTCGAATACGAAGGAACTTATTTTTAACAAGGAGTTTTTGATATGTGGGGATAAAGCTACCAGAATATCAATCAGATATGTGCTGTTTGTCAGAGCATCCTTTATGAGGGAAAGGTGGCAGTGAAATATCTCTCGTAAATCACTTAATAGCCATCAGAATTGTTTTTTTTCCACTGTGCAAACGTTACAAACGAGTTTTTTTTTAAGGAATGTGAAACTTTCACGTGCTTTTACATTTGGCATTTCGATTAAGATTATGCAAAAAACCTTCCTTAATCCATACTATCCATAGCGCCTTTTCAGTTGCGATTGGGGAATCTTCGAAAATCTGATAAAACTAAGCCCATTATCTACCAAGAAAGAAAACTTTCCTTTTATCCATCTGGAGTTGGTCTTTCGGAACTAATACTTTGAGGATAGAAGCTGTCACATACTACCTTATTGTGACAGAATCGTAAAAACGAATGTTGGTACAAAAAAAATTTGTTATACACAAAAGTCATGTGAAGTGACCGTAATGTCTGGGTAACTTCCTTAACTACATAGTCTCATCAGTTTCCGTAGGTTGTGTTCCACTCGGTGGCACGGTGCTCCAGTTATGCCGTTAGCCTTTCAACTCCTCCCTAATTCAATATTTGGCCGCCTCCCACTAGTATGGCTTATTACCACTTTCGATAAGACTAGAAGGCCTACATGATCTCGCTGCAATGGCTTGCTTGACTCAACCCTTCCATACGATATAATAAGGCTTCTTTCACTCTGTTATGCCTTATTACAGTCGTTAAGTGCGTACATAAAAGTACCCAATCTTCGAATTCTACACATTACTGTGAGTCTACACAATCAAATTAAAATTACATGACGTTTATGTATTATGTATTTTTCATATAAAAATTGATCTCATTTGAAGGAGTAAAACTGGGCTAAATTTTGCGTAACTAACAACTTGGAACAAAACTTTCGGCTTATTCATAAATTTAAGAAAGCTTTATCACAGCTGTTCATCAACAATCTTATTCAAAAAACTGAAGGTAATATGCATAAATCCATCTACGTGGATAAAATAGGCACTCAGTGAATTGGTATCTTTCACAGCCGTTATTAACTGGCTCCAAACTTTTAAGAAATTCGGTTTTAGACCTGGTTTTGCTAAGGTAATATATGACCTTGTAGTTTTTTTAAGCTTCCCATCTTATTAATGAATGCGTAATTAGTTTAATTTCGACCCACAGCACATTTGGTGTTTTCGCTCGTCATGTGGTCTCAAGTAAATTGGATTGGTAACTCAGAAGTACCAGAAATACCAAGCCTTGCATCTAAAAATAGGCCTGTAATAAGCAAATATAAACCAGCAAAATTGTAAGCATGTTGACCCTTTTATTTTCAGAGTTCGTTAATTTGTTAATATTCGTTAATTGCCTTTCTAGTTACAGGAGTCTGTGCGTCAAGAATTACCTGTTATAGATATAACTAGGCTACGGTTTTTGTTTAGTGTTTTACAAATACAAATTTAAGTTTCACCTATGTATGCCATTCCTTTTAAGTGGACCAAGAAATCTCGCATCTGATCCACAACAATATCACCAGCAAGAGGGTGCTGCAACTGAGAATTCACCAGTTTCTCCAGAGAGAATTGTTTTTAATGTTAGCGGTCTAGTGTTTGAGACCTATGCTACCACGCTGCATAGATTTCCAAGCACTCTTCTCGGTGACCCCGTGAAGCGCGCCACATTTTTTGATCCTCATCGTGGACACTACTTTTTTGACAGACATCGGGAAAGTTTTGAAAGTATTTTATTTTACTACCAAAGTAATGGTCTTATTCAACGTCCCTTGACAGTATCTCTTGCGGTGTTTTTGGAAGAAGTAAAGTTTTTTCAGCTTGGGGAAAAAGTTATACGAATTTTGCTAAGGGACGAAGGTCTGAAATCTGTCGAGGATATTTTATTGCCCGATGATGCTATTCGGCGAAATATGTGGTTGTTTGTTGAATATCCCTTGAGCTCTTGCTACGCCAGGTGGTTTTATTTCTTCTCCATGACAATGATTTTGATATCTGTGGCGAGCTTTTGTCTGGAGACACTACCAATGTTTATTACCTACCATGTAGATATTAGCAGTTCAGTTCCAAAATTTACAACTGACAACATTTTCTTCAAAGAAGAGTTTTTTTACCTAGAATTAGCTTGTATGGTATGGTTTACTATTGAGATAGTCATACGGTTTTACAGTTGTCCCAACAGATATTTATTCTTTAAAAGTGCCTTGAATATCCTTGACATTGCCTCCATTTTGCCATTTTATGCATTGGTGGTAATGATGTGTTTTGAAATTCCTATTACATCTCCTACAGTTTATTTACGGTTTTTCCGTTTTCTGCGACTTTTTCGTGTTGTTCGAGTTCTGAAACTCTCCCGTCACTCAAAGGGCCTACAAGTGCTTGCCAAGACTATGGTGACGAGCGGTCGTGAGCTTACCCTTTTGCTATTTTTCGTAATTGTGTGTGTGGTACTTTTTGCTACCGCAGTTTATTACGCGGAATTGGACTCTCGTCCAAACAGCTTCACCAGCATTCCCGACTCCTTTTGGTGGGCTGTGGTGACGATGACCACTGTGGGCTACGGGGATATGCGTCCACAAACGATGCTAGGTAAATTCGTTGGGTGCTTATGTGCCGTTGCTGGAGTTCTTACAATCGCACTTCCAGTTCCTGTGATTGTTTCCAATTTCAACTACTTTTACGTAAAGGAGAAGGAAAATGAAGAACTCATTAACTACGCCGTTTTGAATCGCCGAAGGGTTCGTGAAAATAACAGCTCTAGTGTGAACATTCCAAAATCTTTTGATCGGACAGGCAATTACGATGAAGAAATTACGTCGGTGACTGAAAGAGATGCTCTCTACGTTAGAAGAGTCAGTAACTGGCCAAATCATTCGCAAACTTTTAACCATATTTATCGAGAAGATGCTCCAATTAACCAAAGGAAGCATAGCAGATAACTTGTAGTGTGCTGTCTGGTTTTGGTTAAAATATATTTGTTAGATGTTTACAAGTATTGTTTTGATTCTTGTATTCATTTAGATTTTATTAAAGGTAAAGGCATGCGATGATATTAAATCCATTTTCTTACATTTTAGAAGTTTTCTGTGTACTGTGTACTTTTCTTTTCGTATGTGTGGCATACTTTTTACTTTTTTGTTTAAGAAACGGAAGTATGTACATGTGTTGCATTTTATAATTAACTTGCTACATCAAATTTTTATTGTTTTTACTTAAAATTAACTTAATCTAGTTTTGTAGCTGGATGAATTTGCATATAGAAAAATTGTATGAAGATTTGGTATGAAGAAGATTGTAGAAACCATTTCTTTTCTTATTAGGGCAGGATACCCGAGCATTGATTTTATTATAAAAATTAAAACTTGTACAGCATGTTGTTGTGACTCTATGGGACGAGTGAAATGTTTTTTGATCAGCTGTCTTATGGTCAAATTTTTGTCAGCAGTGTCTTATACTTTATGGAATGTATTAATAAGCTTGAGCGAATTAAATCAAACGCTTTTTAAAAAACTTATCCATTATCTATTTGTGATGAAAAGCAAGGTTGCAGGCATATTATTTTCAATATCGGAGAGAGTTAGTCATTTATTTGTAGCTCGATTCGATTGACGATAAATTCTACCATTAGAAACGATGTTCGTGTAACCTGATTTGCTTCCTATAAATTAGTTATTTACTTTTCGCGAGAGTCGTCTGTGCAATTGAGCTTGAGACATAACTTAAAAGCCATTGAAATACGCTAATGATGAATGGACAGTAGGTCTTTTTCATTACGGTTGTCATTGGTCAAAGATGACTTATAATTTATTGATGCAAATAAAGCCCCATTGTTTCTCTTGAGAATCTGCTTTCGTCCCTTTGCAGTGCAAATACTGACTTGCAGTCGACATAATTTTTTGAAAATTGTTTTTAAATTTGAAATTTTTTAAGGGGGATTCACCAATGCTTACTTTGGTTGAAGGCTTTCTGCTCTGAGAGGGAAGTTCCTATTGAAATGACCCTCTTGGGGCTTAATAGGTGTGACAAGACAAAAGAGCTATTATGTTAGGTTATTCGACTGATTTCATGGGTGTGTTTAGTATCTGAGAGGTGGTAGAATGAGTTTAAATATAAAGTATTAAAGGTGTTAGCGGTTTGCAGGCAGTAAAAGGTTCATCATAAAAACGTGAGCTTTAAAACATCAATTTCACTCTCTTCTTGCGCCTAGAATTTGTTGTAGTTTTGGGACATTACTAAAGCTGTTAATCTTCTTAGGGGAACAGGTTTTTGCTAATATCATGACGACTCTTTGAATGAAATTACAAAGAATATGCTAATTTGCAAAATTGATTTTTGAATAAAATGAGTTGAAATGTTAGATAGAAGACCATTTCGAACTTTATGTAGATTCCATGCACGTTATGGATGACTGAACATAGTTTTCAACGTTTGGATCAAAGATGACTTTACACTAGACGATAAATTCAAGGCCAATCCTTTTTTCCCTATTCAGTTGGTTATTTTATACAGTATGTGAATATAAATTTTTCTTGCTTGTTTTTCGGAAGTAATCTCTCAAAATGTATTAATGAGGAAGCGTGGATTTACAGTCTTCAAAACGTCCACTGATATGTCCTAGTTTAATAAAATCTCAAACCTACTGATGAAATGACCTGATATTTAATGTTATGTTATACATTTAGCATTTAGTTCACAGTCTATTAATGTAGCCGATTCCTCACAAGCGTTGTTTGTTGTAAAAACCTGCAGGATATCGCCAGCCTAAAGATATCCTAAATTGGTTTTAATTCAAATGTTTTAGCTTGATTATGCGATTTCTCCCATTCCAATCTTCACCTTTCTGCTTGACATGTCACCTTTATAGTTCTATTAATGTTTCAGTTGCATATGTGCTCGATTTAATCCTGCTTACCAAATTAGTTTGATGTGGGCTTCGCACCACATTTACAATGTGTGGCTTAATTAAAATCTCCATATGTGGTTGCTTAAGCAAGTCCCATTAGAGGTAACTGCTTCTGCCCCACTCACGCCGGCCCTTTCATCTATGGCTATCTCCGCTACCTACTATTTCATCGGTAATTGTTGTCGTATCTTGAGTAAGAGGAAACCGACTCTACCATATGAATAAGGGAAAACTGTTAAATTCATCACAAGGTCAAGCCCGGCAACAATTGCATACATAAGTTAATCGCCTTCTCTCAAATTGGCTTTCAAAATATTATACTTGGAAGTTTTTGTATATATGCTCTTATAAAGTAGGCTATGACTCAAAAAACTATGAATACTGGAGTAACTTTAAAAAGAATCCGAGAAAAAAACTATCTTCAAAAGTAATTTTTCTGACCTTTGTACCAAGAATACTCGGTCTTCTATTAAATTGACATATTTTTCGTTCGAAATTCCCTATTATTTACTGTGAATTTCTGCAGTGCTTCAAGTCACTTATGTGAAGTCCATTGATGCCCAATTGCTCCATAATCTGAAATCATCTAATGAAATTGTCTTCTGCCTTATGACGACAAGTAAAATAGCATTTTTTATCCGAAAGCATATAGGTATTATGCTGCCTTTCGTGAAACCTATCTGTCCAGCTCTTACTTGCCTCTGGAATAAAAAAGTGCAGTTTACAGTCCTTTTAAATTACAATGTTTTATCTGTCTCGCCCACAGCTCCATTGGCTGCCTCAGAGCGCATCCCATGACGCCGACAAAGAAGCATTTCATTTACAGGCTTAAAAATAAAAACTTCATTAATTAAATCGATATATTAGTTTATTTTACTCATACGTTGTTGCAATTAACTGCGCTTCATTTTGTGCAATCGAATCCCACAATTGATTCCCTCAACACTAGTAATAAACGATTTTACATAGAACATAGGGCTAGCTTTTGGACCCAGACACTTTGAAATGCTCTCTAACTTGCTTACCAAAAGACCCGTAACTTCTTAACCCACCTTTACTAATATTAGTCTAAGACATTCGACCGCTTTTTGTTCATGATGTGTCTGAGATTGTGTAAATCAGTGGAAAAGGTTTGTACGAGCCTAATTTACTATTAAGACAGGCAAGAATCTTCAAGATCACTCGCAGTATCACCGCTTTGCTTATCTGTTGTGCCGGTGAGCATACTTAATTGGTGAATAATGACCAAGGCGATAGTTGTATAATTCGAGGTATAAGCCTGTTCTACATTTAATTTTCTGTAACTACTTGAACACCAGATTCTTATGATGCACACGAGCAATCATCTTCCACGTTTGTATTGACCCGACTTCGAATGCAAGATACGCGTGGTCACTAAAAAGCGTCTCTTTAGCTATACTCGTTCGCGTATGGTTACCCATAAAATTTACCTTGAAGTTGAACCATGCAAGATACGTGATCAAATAATCTACTTTTAATGGTTAATGGACAAAAATGCATGTAGAAAATGACGACGAGAATTCTCTCTGCCGATTCCCTATGGTAGCGTCCGCTATAGCTATGTTGTGAGAAACGCTCGGTGAATAGGACAGATGCTTTTGTTTAGTCCAATGCCCCCTTATGTTTCAAGGTTACTTTATCGAAAACTTATTGCGGATTTTTAGTGACGCTGTAGTTATTTGTCGAGTTACTTTTACACATTTTCTGTCATTTAAGTCCACCGTTTGGTCACAGTGGATCGCTTTTAACAATTAATAATCTCCTTTGCATAAAATTGGCTACGATTTACTGAATCTGGCTTAAACAATTTTGATAGTATACACTATCCGAGTCTGCACACCGAAATGAAGGTAAGGCTGCGGTGTGTATTAGTCTGAAATACCTAACTCATTAATCGTCAAACAGTCTGTGCTATTTTTCAATGAGACTTTAGCTTAAAGCTTCTACTATTGTTTCCTTTGGTAAAGGGAGACTTCAGAACTTTCTATTTAGAACCTCTCACATGCACGCAGGCGATATTTTTATTCAAGCAAAATAAATCACCTTTCCTACGCGGCCTGCTGGAAAGGCAATGGTGTCATGCGCCAAAGTGCCTCAAGTTCTAAAACATGGTTGTTGCACTCTTGAGCGCACTTCTCGGATTAAGTGCTTCGATTGATAAGTAATGTCGGTGATAATATGCACATGGGAAACAAGGAGGAGCTGCCATTCAACAGCTTTTATTCATCACTCCACGCTTCGCGGCATAGTCGTAAAATTAGGTAATAATTTTTTCAGGACTATATATTTAACTTGAACCGGAAAACTTTCCTTTCTCCTAAAGAACGGAATTATGCTGTCCCTCGGCCAGGGGTACCACAAATTCACTTTGATAAGACGAACTGGTTCATTTGTTTTAACGTCAAGCATTAGATTACTTTCACAAGGCATAATCTTCTAGTGCATATAAAACAAAAATATCGAGAAGTGTTAGAAAACAGGCAGAAATAAATTTTACTTCAGTGAACGAACTCACTGCATAGATAGCTTGAACAGATTAATCACTCTAAAAAGTCTGTGCAGCTATAGTCCGACTAAGCGATCGGGTTGCTGGCACACTTGCTTGACATCCTAACTTATCCCTCGTTTGGCCGTCTTACCGAAAAACGTGCCTTGGCGATAACAGTAATTTGTAAACCTTTGCGTTAAAATCTTGCAGCAGACCCCCCATCTTCTTCACTATGGACTTAAATAGTCAATCTTCAAAACACTGCTTAATTGGATTGTAAGACCACAGCTTCTGTTAAAACGCTTTTGATAATATATTAAGTGGCATATGATTTCTATTTATGAAGATGACAATTGTAAAATAACGACAAATTTTGTGAATGAGATGTAGCATTCTAAATAAACTGTCTAAACGAATTGCAATGCTTACGTATGTGCATTATCTTACGCAATTAAGTGTTTTCAGGTCATTAATTAAATCCCATCCAGGCGCTTCCAAGCAGGGGCAGACCTTGATAACTGTAAGCATTCAACGTACCATTTATCTGAGCCGCGTCGCAAAAAATCGTCCAAGATATATTCACCATCCCTTTTATGCTGTGATCGTTGTATCTCACCAGCTCGATGTAGGTGTGCATGCTCCTCTTCACAAAAAAATGGTGGATGGTGCAGAGCGAGCCCAGAATAGGAACTCCACTAACAGTTTGTGTACGACTTCATCCATTCTCCAATTACGTCACGCACCCTTGATTTGCCCACGTTTATACTATTCGGTTACGCTAGTTTCTTACTAAGGGTGTGTTGAGAGATGATTGCATCATCTCATTTCACAGACACTGCGTTTCCGCAAATATACCTATCTAGGTGCCTAGTCCGTAATTTAGTAAATTTTTATTTAAACACACGATGCTATACAATTTAAAATGTTAATGGACACTGCAAATTTCATAAGAGCACCTGTCTTAAGAGCTAACATAACATTAAAATGAAAAACAAATCCTTTGTAAGAAGGAAAATACCTTACCTTTACTGGAATTACCTTCTTTATGAGGCTTCAGAGTACTTTTCTCTCTGTTGAGAGCATAAATATGAAATAGAACCGCTTAATAAAATCATTTCAAGAAGCTGGGCCACTCTGAAAATACTCCATTAAGTAATCGGTGCAAATGGAAATCCTAGATAATCACACGAAGCCTACTCCCATTAACCTCACTTAACAATACAATAAGCGGCAAGGCTAGCTCACGTCTTCCGGGTCCGCAAATTTCAATGCAATTTTACGTGCAATTACTTCGTATTCCACACCATCACAAAAAAAGTGAGGTCTCAGCCACGTAGAAAATCCCAAAATTTTTTATCTCAAACCGAGAGTTTGCTCAAAACCCTATTTTCGTAATAGAAACCGAAAAAAACCCAATAATCAAAACCGTTTCCCAGGCACAAAACGGCTGACGCAGACTTCCCCATCACTTGATCATTCTGCTTCACAAAGCTTCTCATTTACAAAGCCTTTTCGGAATATTACTTTCACGAACCAATACACTATGTGAAGGCAGCCTCCTCACTGGCATTGGTTCGGGTGTAACTTCGGAGCACTTGGACGTAGAAAATCCCTTGGAGAAATTAAACCACAAGCGCCGTGCCTGCAAAGAAAAACAGTCACCTTTAAAAGTTTCTCGTGTCAAAGGAAATTACCGACCACCACAATGTTCTCAGCATAACTTAGTTATCCATTCGTCTATAACTATCCAAGAAATTACTAGAATTCTCGTAGCCGAGTAATTTGGCAAACCCTTTTATCCGAAGTAGATATTTAAAATTGTGGTGCGCCAGAAAGCTTCGGCGCTCTATGCTAATGGTTTATAAGTTCGAAGGAAAACCCCACTTGCGGAAAGATTACCAACACTACGAACTTTATGAATTATTTCAAAATCAGCACAATACCTAACTTTAGTCTCCAGCCAATCGAGAATGGAAAACTCGAGTAGTAAGTTTTGAATAGCACTTTTATTACCCACGATTTCTCCATGTTGCTCGAATTCGTACTACAAATAAGCTCCTTTCCGCTACCTGATGGCAAATCCCACGTATGTCAACAGAAGTTAGTTGTTCCTGAAAAAAAACCCATTTTGAAAGCCACAGGTATAGCAAGTGCTCAAACACTGTCGGATTGACTTTTTGATACTTAAAATATATTTTCCTAGTTATCTTATTGTAAATTCATAATTTCACTGTCAAGATAGTGGACTATGCTGCTGAGAGCTCTACATGAGTGAGGATAAAACCGAGGTTAACCAATCGGACGGCAAGTACGGTTTTGAATGCCGCCTGTGTTTAAGGTAAACTGCTTTGCTGCGCACTAATTATGGCAGACCGCTTAACTCACCCATGCCCTCCATTTATAATTTGACATTTTTCGTTATAAATGTTTGGCTAATGTATAAACCTTAAATGCGTTTGTTAAGCCTATTTTGATTACATTTCCGTGTTGAGTATAAAAATTATAAACAGGCACATTTGTATTGACCTCTTAACTTCAATGACAAATATATCTGTTCACAAACCACATTTGCCTCCAAAGGATTCCTATAAAGTGGGTCCAGTATTTTTGCTACTCCATACAACAGTCATGAGTTCTTTTGTCATTATAGTGTGAAAAACAGTGCAATAGACAAACTGCGAATTTTAGCTCAATTCACAGGCAAAATTAAGTCGCAGAAGCATGGGGAAGTACCACTTTCATTTATTCTAGAGAGAAGCAATTGATTTTCTACAAAAAGTGCGTTGCGCTATGAGGAGAGCACTACCATATCCACCTCTCAACTGACTTACCCTCAATTATATTTTTGAACAATATTTTATGATCAGCTGGGACCGTTTTAATAGCTATTACATAGAGACATGGGCAAACACATGATTTAAGAAAATTTTGGAAAATGTATTCATTGAATAATTAACAGTCGATCAATTTTTGGTTACCCAAGCAATGTGGAACCTTGAGGGGCCTAAAAAGGTGCTCAATAAAGTGCAAAATAGCAAAAAGTAGTTTTCTGAACAAATGACACCACAATGCAGCAATGTCTGCTATATATAAACAGTACTCTGGTGAAAGAATAGCCAAAGAGTACCGTAGTAAAACGGTTCAAGTAATTGTGCACTAATGTTAATCACCAGCAGTAAATTCCCATAAACTTCCCCCACTGACTTCAAAATATGTTCAAATATTAGACAAAGGAGTTCTAGTGAAAAGGTTTAAATTATTAAAAAACCCAGTAAATTGATGGTGTACATAATGAACCTGCTCTTATTATTTACGACCTAAAAAAAGAAACTAGTGAAAATTAGAGCCGATGGCAAAAGTAAATTTTGTTTTGAGAAAAAGAAAGGAATCGTAAACGCACACATCAAAAGCAAGGTAGGTGAGAATCTGTTCCTGGTGCGCCAGTGGGACATTCCCATCAATCTGTGCGAGGTATCTGTAGAGGTCGCTAAAAAGTTCGAACGAAATCCGCGCATGACCACCCTCTGGATCGGAAGTTAATAATTCACAAAGTAGTTTCATTGTGGTTGCCAAAGTCTAAAATCCATCGACAAATAACTCGTTCGTTGGTTGTATATTGTCACCACCTAGCACAAAAATTTCGATACTTTTGGAAAATATGAAGCTCTTAACTAGACGGGCAAATTTTGTGCTACTTCTTAAGTTGCAGAAAACCAGGAAACAACCATTTTTCAAAAAAAAATCTCGAGGTTAGGACTAAAGTAATCATTGCCAATGACACCAAGGATGTAACAGAGTAAAAAATGCAGAAATAAGAGTTGTGCCCTTAAAAGCGATTGATTGCAGGATTGGTATGAACTTCAAGCACACCTACAGGAGCAACCTGAGTGGCCGCTAGGGCAAAAAAATGAAGCCAACGAGCATCATCACCGAAGTTACCGATGCGCCAAATTTCTTGAAGACGTTCTAAAGGCAGTGCTAATGCAAGCCATTTCTCCTCAATTTTACACAAATTCACACGTTGAAAGCCACCAAGCTAATTAAAGCAAAACAAAAGAGTGTAAGTCAGAAAAGCATATCTATACAACCGGCCACAAGTAAAATAGCTGGTTTATCTTCGAAGGACAATTTAAGCTATAAAAACACATAAGAACTGGTAAGGGCTTCCTAGTATTAAACAAAATATGTAGATTACAAAAATTGGCAACGACGCAGGTTGCAAGCATTGCCGAAATCCATCAACTGAAATTCAAAATAGTTCTTATACCTGGTTGTGCAATATCTTTAAAAGACCGAGCGTCAGTCCTGTGTCAGTTTTTTGCGAAGAAATGGCCATTTCTAGACGCTCTTTAACCGGTGGGACCTCGTTATGTGCAAGTGCCTTAAAGTACCTACAGGTAACACCACCTGATCTACCTTACTCGTATGACCATACAAGGGGGTCCTTTGGTTGCGTTCGAATAGCCGCCTTAGTGAACTGCTTTAGAATATCAGGCAAAAGCGGTGGAATTTCAATTTGCTCGTGACAATAATAGGGCTCCTCAGAAATTTGCATACCTCAGAAATACTTTGTTCACGCGAAAGTCACTATAACAACATCAAAGCCGATGCGTTAAAACCAACCACAACATTTTCGATTAGTCGAAGTACAGTAGACTCATGTGCTGTAAAAGCTTTAAATTAGGTCTTTGAACCACAAAACACAACGATTTTAAAGGAATTATTCAAGTTGCACAAGTTATTTAACAGTGACATAATTTACAACTTGCCCACTCCTATGGCTATTTCAACACTGCAAACCATGTATCTAAAACTAAACACTTTTGGTGATTATTAGGTTATTAGTGTTTTACTAACCATATTAGAAGAACTTTTTTGAAATCCGTTGCACTGTGATGTATAATGGCCTAGTAGAAACAAAAACAGCACTTTGTTCTGCAAACCATACGCAACTCTATGTCACCTCGTTTTACTCGTTACTTCGTTTTTCTCTAGAAAGGTCTTCTTGTTTAAAGTGTCACTGGCTTTCCAGCGCGTTTTTGTTGCATTAAAGGATGACTCAGTTTCTGCCTCCGAATCTGCTTGCCCTTTTTGCTCCGCGCGACCCGATTCCATATGTGCCCCCAATAGAAAAGCACAAAAACCACAGAAAACTTCCATATACCGGTGTTGCCCAGTTTTTGGGGGAATTTGAGGTATTTTTCAGCTGTTGGGTTTTTGTGTTATTTACTGTTTTTAACCCCTCCTTTCTAAAATCATTATTTGTTGTGACGCACAGGATCCTTCCGAAACTCCCGCCTCATCTCGAATCGAAACTAGAGAGGAAAGGAAGGCTCGGAAACGAAAGGAAAAACAGGAACAGGCTAATTACAAACTTGAACGCGATCTTGCTCTGTGTATGTCTGATTGTCCACTTTATTCCTTTAGGGAATCCAAAGAAACTTGTTTCTGGTACAACAAATGCTTATAACACTCTCTTCGTTGCTCGACTGGTAAATAGGTGTGCCTTTTTCAGTCTATTAATCTAGAACTACGATACTTCTGAACACAAGCTGCGCAGAGAGTTTGAAGTGTATGGGCCGATCAAGAAGGTAGTTTCATGTTCTGGTACTTCATCGGTTTCAGATATTCATGATCAAGGATGCAGCTACTGGCAAGCCTCGGGGTTACGCTTTTATCGAGTTTGAGCATGAAAGGGACATGCATGGTAAGTTTGGTTTTTGTATGTTAACTAGTGTTGTAATCAATGTTCACCGCATTTCTCTGCCTGAGTAGAGTCATACCCTCTTGTATTTTTTGTACTGACCATTTGTTGAAGCGCAGATGACAGTTAATCAGCCAGCACGACTGGATGAGAAATACTTAGATATCAGTTTGCGTCAGGTATGGCTTATGTTCGGAGCAAGCGCTCGCATCTTTCTTTGGGTACCTGGTTTAAGGGAAAGCATTAGTTTGTGACAAAAAGGCATTGATGTAAGATTTCTTGTCTTTTTTTATTCAGACCGAATTACAATTGCCGGCTTGGGATCTTCTAGCCGCGTTTGAATGTCATTAGGCAAATTGCAACATTTAATCTTATTTTCTGGTAAGCCGGGTAAGATTTACCAGGGAAAAGGTTGCTCTGGTAATACTGCTCATGATAATACGCAGTAGCCACACTGGGATAGGTCCAAACTTCGTCAACTTATGTCCACGGAAAGTACGACGCTCTAGCCAACGGTAGTTTTGGTAAGCGCGGTCTAGGTCGGGTATCATTTGTGTTTACCTGTTACTTCGTTCTTGTTCCGTTCTTGAACTCTCTTGTCTTCGACTCCTGCTTTGACTGTAAAGCTGCGAATAAGGATGCGAACGGCCGGAAAATTGATGGACACCGTATTCTTACCGACATTGAACGCGGAAGGACCCGTCCGGATTGGCGACCGAGGCGATTGGGTTCGTTTTAAAGTCTGCTTTGCCAATTTATCAATTTTCTATTCATTAACAGACATTCGTTATGGCACTTGAATCTTTAGAAAATCGTTTCATTTGCAACAGTATTTCAGCATCACCTCCTACTGGACGGTGTGTCGTTTTGACTGCCTACATTATTCGTTTTCGATTCCCGCTTGCTAACAGGTAAGGGTCTTGGTAAGTCTCGCAGCGGCCCCAGTGACTCACGCCGTGATGAAAGGAGGCGAGATGAAGATCGCGATCGGGACCGGGATCGCGAGAGGAACCGCGACCGCGATCGTGATCGAAGACGTCGCAGTAGGTCCCGCGAATACCGGGATCGTCGTCGTAGGAGCCGTAAGCTACTTTTAATTTGGTTGCTTAAGTCCCTGGTTTCATCGTGAATTACTTTTGCTTCGGGTGCGTTTGTTATTGGTGTAAATTATGCACTGTAGCTCACGTTTCGTTTCAGATAGCCGGGAAAGAAGACGCAGTCGTGATCGCTCCCGCGAGCATGGACGCAGAGACCGATATCGTCGGGATGAAATGTCCCAGTATGGTGAGTATGGCGCGGAGATTAAAGCGGAATATAATGGGGATTACTAATCTGTCTGTCAACAATTCAGCTTTTAATAAAATCCATGTACACACCCCTTTTACTCTTCAACTTTTGTCAATATCATTCTGTATTAAATTGCCCTCCTTTTTACTAAAACATGGTAAGCAATTGTCCTGGTAACAATGTGTATTATAGCGGTGATTGATGCTAAGTCACAGTGGAGTAGGATTGAGGCAAATCTTCAGCTGTAGGTGTATTTTGGAGCCCTCCAATAGCAGCAAGCGAGAATCATCCCAATAAGCTAAAAAGTTGAAAAAAAAATATCCATGATTTTGCAGAATTTCATGCGTAATGTGAGGATCTCTTGCTTGGAGCAAACGTCTGGTAACGTGTTCACTCCCTCCGAATAGGGGATTTTGACGCTCTTATCCGCACACTTGAACTCGGTTGGCGTGGCGCATTGGCGTGTGGCGGGATTCGTGTGACGAGTCCTAAATTGGTTCACAATGGGTTGTGGATTGATATTCATTCAGCGTCAAAAACTCGATCGCCACTGGTACCAACCACCCTGAGTTATTTGGTCGGATTATGTTCGCTCTTAAGGTCCTAGCTGTATACTGGGGAAGTGCTGTTGGGTATCACCTGGTTTCACTCCTCTAAGACCGCTCCTGCTGCTTTTTGTAACTCATTCGCTGTGATTGGTATGTCTAATCAACATTCTTGGCGGGAGTGCGCCTTTTGAACTTTTTTCTCAAGGCAGCAAACTGTCATGGCGTGAGTCAAAGTACTTCACTTTGCGTGGATTACCTTTGCATATTAAAAATAGGATTTCACCTCAGTTCCCTCAAAATAACCTTTACATAGACTTGTTGAGCTTCAAATTTGTTCCTTTGGTGAGGTAGTTAGTGGCCACTCCACGCAGTCAGTATTCAGCGCTTTTGACTTGAACTAAATCAACGGAAGTTCCCTAGTTTAATTGACCGAAGGAGCTAGAGGAAACAATGGATAAGGAGTTAAAAGAGAACTACTCCTAATGCGCCGCACAGACCATCTCTCGAGGCCCCAAAAATGAAGAGGGTGAAAAGCTGAACACGACCTGTAGTTACGGAATAATAAGCATGAGAACTGAATTAGTAAATATTTGAAGTTTATTGTGGTATGAAGTGCCGTCTGTCCATTTATTTTCAGATCTTCCTATTTAAAAGGTTCTTTAATGAATAAAACACGTCGTGCTTCAGCAGTGAGCAGCTTTAAATCCCATCTGTGGTCATCTAGGTTGTGCTCTCATGAAATAGCAAAGTGACCTGACGTTTACCTTTCGCAGTCTCACAAACACCAGCATATACATGTGTACTGGCTGCATAGTTGGTAGCTGTGCCATAGTGGAAGCCAGATCTTCTCTTTGACAGAGAAGTTTGATATTGCGTTGGCAGGGACAAAGTGTCTCAAAATTAAGTCACATCTTTCTAGAAATAGATGAATTTGGAGTTTAATAGGTGCGCCTAACATATCGAATTGTATCCACGCACAAACCAATTGCCATGAATTCGGCTTTTGATTTGTAATATAGACACAAACCTAAGGGATTAACAAATTCAAGTCATGTGATATCCCTTGTGAATAGCTATTTCTTGCTTCAACAATGGAGTAACTAATTAGTTGTTTTTCTACAGGTTAATTCTACAAAAACATTCCAATTTGAGGTATGCAATTTTGAACACGGTGTTAACTTGACAGCGGACAATGCTTGTCTGATATATATTAATAAAAATTGAGGGGGCGAGAACTAATAGACCGTTAACTCACCTCAACAACCGCGAGAGCGAGAAGAACAATACAGATTATGAAAAGGGTAGAGTTCAGTTCATCCGTAATCGCTGACATACAACCCTAAGAGGAAATTATTTACAGATGTCAATCTACCGCCTAATACATATGTTTGCATCATGGTTGATCGTTAAGGCTGATGTCCCAAAAGATGTTCTGTAAAATTTTAAGTAATAAATAATCATATATATTAAGAATTCAACCCAATTTTATAGATACAAGCAGCCATTTTCTGTAGGTGTGCACCTACGGGAGCAACACCGCTGGTCGCAGAGGGTATATTTGACGTCCTGCCTCCAATGCAGAACTAATTGGCACAAAGACGCTTCATACCAAGATGCCAACTTGAAACATTTAAGAGTTGATCTTGGAGCAAACTGTCACTCAGCGTCTGACCGCAGAACATCTAATAAAGCGCTGTACACGGATGACCCTATCAGCCAAGCGAAGTGCTAAATATGTTAATGAAATTCAACAACCAAGCGAATACTGCATGCTCCCGATAAAATAACTGCACCACTTTATGATATGCAACAAAGAACCGTACCATAAGAAGGGAACTTGATTAGGCAATGAACGTTCTCAGTCGAATAAACACATGCATGCTTCCGCTACTGTGTACCGTATACCGTATAGGACCGCATTTTATTATTTTTCTGTGTCGATGATTTCAAAATATAATGCTAGTGTCACCTTCAATGAGAACAGTCTTATGCGTTGAGAATCTCAAGGAAAAGTGAATTTTATCAGGAAACACCTATACTTCTAAGCTCGAACGTTAGTGACTGCAATTATTTGGAAAGGGCACAATATCGCTTTTAAGCAAGATTTTTGGGAGAAAGATATCAATTTCTATGTGCAATAAGAAATTCTAGTTTAAGATTATGCACGGGATATTCCGTATAATTGTAGCTGTGTCGTGTGAGTAGGAATAAAGGCAATGACTACATTAGTTATTTTTTATTAAAAACGGGCTGAATCTCCTATAGTACCATAAAATATAATCCAATAACCCACATTATGATAAAAATGGTTGACAAATAGATATCAACTATAAAAAATTACTTTTGGGGTAGGTTCAGAGATTTTGGGGAAGTTAAACGGCGAACATTTTCGTTTGAAGCCTCAGCTTAATAAATTTTGCTGTTTCTACGAAAATATAAAGTAAAAGTTTCCAAAAAGCATAGGAAATAATGTGAAAGTAAACAACCCCAGTTGGGGGACACTATGTAGATAGGTAGCAGAATACCTATCAATGAAATACTGTCATATTAAAGTGTTCAATGCGTTAAGTGAATTTTTGAAAAAGGGTATTCTTATAAAGTAAGGCCCAAATAAAAAAATTATACTAAAGTTATTTTATCCTGCAAATAATTGCTTTATAATATGAAATGCATGAAACTAGCAGAATAAAGCTAAATTGGTCAGAAAAATACCTTGTAATAAATGTTTGAAGGGTGAATTATCCTGCCACATTCTGCATGCGGTCCAATGCAGCACGAACTTGGAACAACACTTGGAATTGTAGAACTCTTGTTTAAAGGAATCCTCGATTTAATTTCAAAACCCGTCCCATGCCAATCGCGATAATTTCTTGCTCCGCAACAATGAAATTGTTTTTGAAGATCGTCTACAGCACGAGTTGTATCAGTGTCTGCCAAATGATATTCATTATTCATTTTCAAGATAAGCGCATCAGCGTTCCATCCGTAAGCTAATTTATAGTAAATCACAGCAGCCGCAGCAGCACAAAATTGCAAGATCAGTGCCAGAGCTAAAATGGTGGCGTACTGCTCCGATAACATTAGTTTTATAACAGCAAACCAATTTTAAAAACGGTGTGTCATTTTTAGATATTGCGACAAACCCGAATACACATACGACTATCAACAAAATCCCAATGCATATAAGAAGGTAAGTGTTAACGTAGGCCGTCTCTCCCAGTAAGAGTGGTAGAATTGGACTTCTAACAAGTGATAAATAGATTCCAAGACCAATAAAAGCCAGTGCAATAGCCTAAACTTGGTAACGAGCGATAAAAATACCGTTATAATTGAAGTAAAGAATATTAGGAAGGTTTTTATCCAGCTCGATGATAGAGAGCAGCACAAAGCTTTCCCCTTCTTCCCATTGCTTTGGGAACTCTCATTTAGAAGGCGGTCATGCTGAATCCGGCTATCAGACTGTTTCATTTAAGAGACTAAAAATGATTTAGATGTACCGCTATTTACTTGACCTTAAAAACGGTTTAAGTGCTTAACCAGTTAAATAGAATATTAAAAATATAAAAACAAGAATTATAAGTTAGAGCCGAAAAATAACTTTTAAAAATAAACGCTAGTAAATTTAGATCTAAATCAAACTTTAACTTTCATCAGACATCCAGAAAATTCTTAATGTAGATTTCCAGTTTTTTCAAACAAAAAAGGTTAAAAAATTCCAATTTGCTTCGCCCATGCAAGGCTTTACAAAAAAAACCTTTCTGAATACAAAATTTGCAAAGCAAGACTTTCCTGAATACAAAAGAAGACATAAGGCTCCAGCAGAATGTATGCATTTAATATACAAAATTGAGTGGAACTACTAGTAAGGCTTAAATCCAGTTTATTTAGTAGTGGTACAAAGGCGGAGTACCTGGGTGTCTGATTTTGCAAAATAGAGCGTTAAACATGCAAGGACTTACACAACTACTCTTCTCTTTAAGCGTCGTTCCCACCATTCCCCTTGGTCAACCCCCACATTGGCCATCATGAAAAAATCAATGCTGTTAGGATACGCCTAAAGACCAACGATGCCGGTCATCAATATTCCATGTGAATGAGGAGATGCTCAGTCGTAAGATCACTGACACCTCCTAAAAATTCTACTGTGGGGAAATCTGCTAGCCATCACGCGCGTCTATTGCTGGTCGTAGGAACACTGGCATCAAAGCAGTCCCGTAGCGAAAAATGGATTTAACGCTGTCTTGTGGGGGTAGGGTTTCGCTTCTTCTTTTCCTTAACACACGTTTTTCTCACTTTAGTGTTGCCCATCCATAATCTATCTGTGTTCTATTCAGCTAATAGAAATGTAGAGAAGGTAGCACGTTTTCTTTTATTTGTTGTACCCATAGGGGTGCAGTGAGGATCCGCTTTTGTAGCTACACTTGTTAAAAATTTTCCTGCAGACTGAGTAGTTATAAAGGTAGGCGTCATTTTGACATCTCAATTATGGGACACCACTGATTCTCTCACCCGTAGCACGCGCACTTCCATCGCCATACTTAGGTTTGTCATTCAGTAATAGAAGTTATAACAACTGTTCTTAAAATCAGCTTTGTGTACCGCTGCTATTAATATAGCGTCCCAAGACTTCTTTGAAGATTAAAGAATATATGCAGTACTCTGGGAGAATATATGTTTTTAATGTTTGTTTAAGCGCACCTTTAAGGCGAGAGGTAGCCAGAATTTGAGAATCTTCTATTGGATCAGACGCCACCGACTACAAAAGAGTAAACATACCTAGAACGCGTTTGACCGCAGCATCTGTACCACTTGTAACAGGCACCAACCCATATATCCCATCCTCGCATAACACATTTACTACTTCTTTCAAAGGTATGAAGGCCAAAGCGGAAGAAATCAAAACGTAATATGTGAAGTTGGTGGAAGCGTCAGCGCAGCCTTCTTTTTTTATCAAGATGTGGAATGCAAAACCGGCTTTAAACCGCCAGATTTAGCTTTGGTCCTACCCTTAGGGCCTGATAAATCGTTACATCATCCGGTAGTCTTCTCTAGCGCCGGGTTATAGAATTGTAGCGTAGAGTCCCGACACTTCCATGAAGACAAAAAAAACAGCACTCGGGCAGAATATATGTATTCAGCGCATAGAGGGTGTCTGGGCTACTAGCATAGCCCAAAGGCTGGCCCACCCAGCGAGATACAAGATGTAGCGTCCCGAGACTCCCTGAAGACGAAAGAAGATACAATACTCGTGCAGAATATATATATTTAGCACGGAGAAGGTGTCTGGGCTATTGGCATGGCCCAAAAGGCCAGCCCACCCAGCGAGGTACATAGGGGCTAATT